GGAGCTGATTCGAGTTGAAGGCAGAGATTTAAGCGCAGCGGGAGGGTACACTTAAAACAGTTCAAACTCATTTAGAAGTGGATGAGGACTTTTCATTGTGCCATTGTTTACAACTTGTCAAAGTCCAAGTGGTGCGCAACAGTTGTGCAGGATTTTATTTAATGACTCTGTTGCTAGGCGATGGAGGACTTGGATAGGCTGGGTAGAGAGGAGAGATGGTGCATGTACAAAGGAGGGAGCTAACTAAAGGCACTACACTGTCAGAGGATTTTAGACTTTAATCTGTGCTTTATTTTAACACGATCTGACCAGAAAGAGCTGAATTAGCTGGAATTACAACAGGTGAGATGATTTGTGCAGTTTTTTCAGATGGTCACTTTCAATTTTTTGTTGAAAATCAAACACCTAAACAGAACCAACAGAATCATGAACACTTTTATTGATCACAGGCTCTGAAAAATGTGCTGTTTAAATCCATTCTGAATAGTTCTTTGAGGCTTAAATCTTTTTTGACAGTGTTTGCTAATGTGTGCATCCAGTCACTGCTGAACATACCACCATAGAGATACATGTAGAACACCCCCAACCTGATGTCACAACAAAGTTTCAATACATACTGCAGGTTTTTTTAGCAACACCCAAATGCCGATTACTCATCACTGTGGTTTTAATATTTGATAAGCATATATGGTATAACAATTAAACTTTTTTCATGTTAAAAGTGCACTGTGTACATTTTCTGGTGGACGTCAGTTGTGCTCCACTTGCTTTGGAATATTCAACGTGTGATTCTAACTGTAGGCACTGCTCTGTCTTGAGGCTTTATTAGATTTTAATCTGAGTTTTGTTTGAACACAATCTGACCAGAATGAACTGAATTAGCTGGAACTACAACAGGTGAGATGTTGTGTCCTTTCAAATAAAATTACTGTCACGTCACTTTTTTTTCAGTTATTAACAAAATGTAGCCCTTACTAAAAAATGTAACAGTGGGCAAGGTACAAACCCGAGGCACACCGACTGAATATATTATTATTCCTTTATTACATGGAGGGACGCCAACATGTTTCAGCCAGCACAATGGTCTTTTCACTTAGTCACTCTAACCTCTTTTGTTGAATAGAAGCATGAACGCACATGTTGATCACATGCTCCTGAAAGCATCATGTTTAAATTAGCTTTGTATTTTTTCTTGAGTTTTTACACCATCTTTAACCTTTTAGACAGTGTTTTCCGATGTGTACATTGTGTCTGAGCAACTAAACACCTGTAAATGGTCACATTTTTATTATATTATACTTTTCAACCTTCAAGGAACCACTCACCTATTCACACACACATTCACACACCAAGGTACGCAGGCACTGGGGGCGAAATGGGTTAAGTGTCTTGCCCAAGGACACAACGACAGCATTCATCAGCGGGACCTGAAATTGTGCTGCCAACCTGTGGGTCAGTGGGTCTGATCACTCAACCAATGATGTTTATGTCAAGAGCAGGATTCGAAACGCCAACCTTCAGTGGACAAACGCTCTACCAACTGAGCTACTGTCAGTGAAAGATTAGTTTAATGCCCTACTGTGGACAGTGTTGGGGAGTAACAGATTACATGTACCGGAGTTACGTAATCAGAGTACAAATTATGAGTAACTGTATTCAGTTACAGTTACTGTTTCAGTGAGTGGTAATTGGATTACAGTTACTTTGTTGAAATAAATGGATTACACGGTGGTATTTTCCTGTTGTTGTTTTTTTTTCAGAAATTCCGCTCATTGCTGGACATGAAACCAGGTCTAAACCAGGTCTAAACCAGGACTAAACCAGGTCTAAACCAGGACTAAACCAGGACTAAACCAGGTCTAAACC